GAATCCTAAAACCCATATCAAACTATGGTAATGGATGCAACGAGTTCATCCTTTGATCCGTCTAACAAGGAGGAGGTTCCTAATCCTAGCGCACGACACTTTTATAATATGTTGAATGCATCACGTAGAGAGATTTGGCTCGGTTGTTATGAGCACTCGCAATTGTCAATACTTGCTCAAATGCTGAATCTAAAAGTTGAATATCATTTTTCGGAGAAGTGTTTCGACTAGTTATGTGAGTTCATAAAGGAGTTAATGTTGGTTGATAACCGTATGATAGGCAATATTTATGAAACAAAGAAGCTTATCGATTGAAAAAATTCATTATTTTCGGAATGAATGCATGATTTATTAGAAGGAAGAAAATAAATTAGATAAATATAGGTTTTGTCAACATCCTCGATATCGAATTTCTCATCAAAGATCGGGAAGAGGAAAACTTATTCCAATTAAAAAAATATACTACTTCCTCTAACCTCGCATCTGCAGTGATTGTATGCATCAAATGCGATAGTCGAACACATGATGTGACATGTTGAATATGGGGGATATGATGTAGGAGTAATGCATCATCCCTTTGATTTTAATTCTTGGCAAAGTTTCAATTAGATTAATTTTCCTTTTACAGTTGAAAGAAGGAAAATTAGATTAGGAGTGTCCATTGATGGGCTTCGACCAACTTGGTTAATCCAATGCATAATATTCCTCATGCTCGGTCATTATGACTCCATATAATTTACCACCATGGATGTGTATGAAGGAAAAATATATGTTCCTAACGAGTGATTGTTATGGATCCAACAAATTCGAAACATAAGTTGAACGTTTACATACGACTTTTCATATCCGAGCTTATCTAGTTATGGGAAGTGCGTGTGGTGACCTACGATGTATATCATAAGCAGAATTTTTTATTAAGAGTTGTAGTTATGTGGACATTAGTAACTTTTATGTATATTCGATATTGTCTAGTTGGAGTACTATATGAAAAATTGATGTTTTTTCCTTTTTAATGGAAGGAAGACCTTCCGATTTGACAACCACCATAAATTTCTTCCTCATGATCATCCATATAGAAGAAACAAGAAAGCATTCATTACTTAAAAAGTTATTAAATCCGGCTCTCCTCCAATTTGATCTAGAGCAAAAATGTTACATATGGTGGAACGAGTAGGGGTTGTTGAAGATAATAGAAGATGGTGCGGATGATCATAAAAGTAGAATCACTCATATGTATGGATAGAGGCTACGGAGTATTTTTTAGGATTTACCTTATTGGAATACAAATCTCTTTCGGCATAATTTAGATGTCATACATATTGAGAAAAATGTTTCGATAATGTTTTTAACACAATCATAAATGAGCCGAGTAAGACTAAAGACAATGCTAGCTCCAGTAAAGACTTGAAACTTTTTTATAAAAGGCCGAATTAGCAAAGGATGATGCGTCTAATAAGTATCCTAAAGCTGCATTTACTTTATCTAAATAACAAAAAACAAAATTGATTGAATGGATAAAATAACTCGGGTTTCTCGATGGATATGTATCTAATCTAGCTAGATATACCGATATGCAAGCATAACAAACTTTATGGGATGAAAATTCATGACTCGCTTCATACGGAGGTTACTTTAATTGCATTTTGGGAGTTTTTGTTGGGAAATGTTTGGTAGATACTTATAAAGTTGAGTTTGTTTTCTAAGCAATTGACTTCTACGGTAATAAGGGAAGAAGATATGTTGTGACTTAATGATGAGATACCCATTATTTTGTATAAACTAGAGCGTATATTTCCACCTGAGTTTTTTGACTCCATGGAACATCTTTCAATCCATCTACCATATGAGGCATCTATTGTAGGACATGTGCAATATCGATGGATGTATCCATTTGAAAGGTATTGTATTTAATTTAAATGTAGAATTAAATAAATTTCTAACTTTTGAAAGCTAAAATAATTCATTCCGTAGGTATTTACAAAAGTTAAAAAATAATGTTGAGAATAAGGCTAAAATGGAAGGATCAATATGCAATGCATATTTAGTCGAAGAAGCCACTTTATTTTACTTGTATTATTTCGAGCCTCATTTGCATACTAGGCATCAAAAAATACCGCATAATGTTGACTATTATGACGAGAGAACAAAACGACCACATTAGAAGGATGTTATCCATATTCAAATAACAAAGTTTACCAATTGGTCAACACACAATATGAAAATTGACACAACTAGAACACCAAGCGACTCAATGAATATATATTGTTGAATTATGAAGAAGTAAAACCTTACATTGAGTGAGTTTATCAAAATTCAAATTCTATATCATACCTATTTTATTACATTTAATAATATTAGCAATATAGTAAAGATTAACTCAATTTTTTTGTTCATTCTCTTCTCTTTAATGGATTTCTTGTCGAAATGCAACTCGAACAATCCCTTCATGTCCGAGAACGAGGCCAATGCTCTAATTGAAAATAAGTTTGCCTCTTGATTTAATCAATATATAATTAGTATCATTTTATATGTTTAGTTTGTTAATAGCATTAATTGAAAGAGAATTAAACTTATAGGGGATTTTATATTTAATTTACATACACAAAATGCATAAGCAATTTTCATAAAAGAATAGTTCTTAAAAGATCTTGCACAAGGCCCATTGCTTACGGTAAGATTGTAAAGCGATTATTCTGTTAATGATAATAGGTTTTACATAATTGATGGATCTTCAAAAATAGGATCTTTCAATAGCGGTGTCTATATTAAAGGAAGCAATTACAAGTATAGCCGAGAGTGACTATTACGGGATACCGATAAAAAATTTTGAAGTAGAATATCTTGCATTGCCAATCAAGAGAATAATATTATTCAAATATGATTGGTTTGATCCTACACCACGAGGAACAAGAGTTCATCCGTAGTATAAACTTGTAAATGTTAATTGTAAGAGAACCTTGAATAATTATGAACCATTTGTCTTAGCACCACGGTTGGCGTACGTGTATTATATGGACTACCCTAGCTTAAGACGCAAGAATTAAAATTGGTAGGCTATGTGTAAGATCAAAGCTAAGTCCGTATTTGACTTTCTTGATTCATCGACTACCATCCAACAACATCTTGAACCATTTCGGTAGGACGATTTGAAAATCCAAGCACAAATTGATAGAGGAAGTCTAGATAGAAAAGTAGATGTGGTTGATGATGATAACTATTGTAAAAATATGTCGGATGATGGAGATGATAACATAAACAATGATTACAATAGTTTTAATTAAATTCATATTTCATTTGTTGTATTAGTAAGAATTGATGTGATTTTTTTCTCATTATTAATTTATTACATACGATTAATGATATCGATTTTTATACCACAAATAAATGTTCTTGTCTATTTTGGTTATTTTTTATCCATAAAAAATGATGTATTTTAATTTAATTACCTATTACTTTACTCGAAAATGTATTTGTTATATTTTGTTTATTTGTTTAACGTTAGATCATATAACATTGACTCGTGATAATCGTGATTTTCGTCATCCCCCTATAGTCACTATCGGATCATATTTTGGTAATCATGGATGAGCATCACCGTCTAATGGTAGTCTACTAGGATCGCCTACCAATATCGATCATGGTTCTCCGACGACAAGCCTTCTACATGGGTCCCACAGCTCTCGCGAGTCATGAAGCTAGCATATCCGCATCGATAAGTGTTCCTATATCAACACCCGAGGTTCCATCATTGACCTCCAAGAGTGGCCCCTCCGCTTACATGTCCGACATTCCGGACAGCTTCCCATAGCTCTTCTAGTCTACAACGTATTTCTATCGATCGAGGACACTATGTAATTATTTTTTTACTTTAATATATAATTTCAATAATTCCCGTGTTCTTTTTAATACTTATTTATCATTTTGTTGTTCGATAGTTTGACTCCGCCTAGTAAAGATTATTCTATGAAGATCTCCGAGATTTTTAAGGAATGGATAGACAAGAGTGGATCATCCTAGAAGTCTATCACGGACATCACTAAAGACTTCTACTTCGGTGAATTTTGCGTAATGTATTATCAATTTTCTTTATAATTACAATAAAAATTTATCATCATATAAAGTTGTAAATATTAATTTTTTTTGTTCGTGCAAATTTTTTTTGACAAAGATATCAACATAAGGCATTTGCCGAAGTCGTATAGGAGGGTGTGGCAAAGAAATACTACGTTGACTTCATCTACAAGATCGGTAAGATGAATGATCGACCTATTTCTATTAGTGAGGAGGTATGGGATGTATGGCGAGCGATTTCGGGAGACCCGATGGCGTGGCTCGTTTAAAGCAAGCTTCGCAAAATCGATTGTCGAGATCGGTGATCCTAGTGCGGGTCCTTTCGGGCATACGAGGGGCTCTATATCTTCAGAAGACCATGCCCATCACTTGGTAAATTTCACTCTTTATTATTATTTACTTATTTCAAAAAATTTTAATTTTCTTCTCATATTGTTCGTAATGAATTTTTTTTAGGTGATAAAATTGGGCCATCAATCAATGAGTTTTGAGTTATTCTAGATGACTCATAAGGGACAAGATGATTCATTCATCGATCTAAGCTCTCGGAAGACAATGGCAAGTGTTTTTCAATTAAAATATTAAATATGAAAAGATAATCCAAATTTTATTTTAATCATGTAATGATGATATTATTATTTTGATTACGGAGGACCATATAGAGCAACTCATCAATGAAGCAATTATAGCTCAAACGGCAATAGGAATTATGGAGTCGAAGTTGACGAAAATGCCATATACCTCGAGGCTATTTGGGAAGAAGAAGAAAAGATTTTATGGTATAGGCACGGGGCATTATCTATCCTAGTCGGATGGTAGCAGCTCCTCATCTACGATGTAGCATTACGCCACCGACTTGATTAATGAAGAGCTTCGAAAGGACTACGAGGCTATGAAGGAAGCAATGAAGAGGATGCGGGTGTTACAAAATGAGCTCTAAAGCCGGATCTCATAGTAGCATCGGACTATTTATAATTTGAAATCTCGGTACGATTTGATGGCATCCTTAGTGATGAGGTTGGCACGAACAATCGGGTGCCTATAGATCTATCGTCGGTCAACGATCTACGTTCCTTCCATACACCCTTTTGTTTCGCCTCCAGTCCATCCTCCTACCGAGCCCACCACACGAGTATAAGGAGGAGGATATGGGATTAGACAAGCGAGGATGAGTAATAGGGCATTTAGTAACTTTGTTTTTTTTTTTTTAATGAAATATACTCTAGAATGGTATTGTTAATATTACTTCATTTTTTATATATATGTTGTTACTTAAAATTATTGATTATGAAATATTAATTATTAAATACAATCTTAATAATGTAAAAATTGTAAAAAAAACATAAAATAAAATTAGTGACTAAATAGCGACGACTAGTGACAAATTCATTTTCAAACTTAACGACGAAATAGCGATGGCCTAGGGACAAATTCATTTTCAAAATTAGAAACGGAATAGAGACGGAATAGCAACGAGACATAGCAACAAAATAGCTACGAAAGAAACGACATATCCCATGACAAGATTAGCAACGAATTTTTTTCCGATTAGCGATAGATATAGTTCCTCGCTAAACCTCGAGACGTAATGGATTTTTTGTCTCAAAAAATTAGCAACAAGTAAATTAGCAATGGAAATTTTTCTATTGTTGTTCCGTTGCTAATTGATATTAGTGACGGAATTTCATCAATTAGTGATGAAAAATTCCATTATTAACTTGCTTTTTTTTTGTAGTGGTTGAATTTGGCCTAAAGGCAATTTTGTGATCTTGATGTTGATAGATTGGTTTAATGTTGTTTTCATGTATTGTTAGTGTTTCATAAATGTATGTTTTGTGTTCAATGATATTTGACTTGTGTATTGTTAATTAATGTTCATGGATTACATGTCATGCCATATATATATATCACAAAAAATGTATTTCAAAGTCATGAAAATATATTTCATTGCATCATGCATTATGTGACATACATACATTACTACACTTGTTGAGCATAAGCTCATCAAGTTGTCTTGCGGTGTAGGTACTTAAGAACATATATAAACTCAAAGCGAAGTTGATGATGAGCCGGAAGAAAAGGTGCTACCGGAGCTTGCCAAAATGTACTATAAAAATTAGTACGGGTTTAATCCATTTCATTTTAAATGATCCAGGTAACTTTGTTAATTGAGATTCCGAATGAATGAGTAGATAAATATTTCAAGATGTTTATTGATTAATTGGTTTGGCAGGTAAATTGCTAATTCGACAAGAAATTAAGTTAATTAAATAAAAATTAAAAGTCAAATTAATTGTAACTAGAACGAGAGACTGTGTGCAAGAACAAGTTGTTTTGGATGGTGTCGAATATAGCATAACGATCAAAGAATCTCCAACACATAACCAGACTTTGCAAACAGCCAATTTTGTATACGAAATTTCGCGGTTCAACAAGATAAATATTTGTCTTTAAATTCAAATTCTACAGAGAAGGATGATGGGGAAGAAGATGGCGCTGTGGAGGTTGAGGTGGATTGTGATGGAGCTGCTGATGTTAAGGTTCTATTGGATGATATCAGTCCTATTCTTATTGATCGAATGTACAGCAAGACTATTGCAAAAGCTAGATGTTAACTCCAATTCAAATTTCCAATTGCTAGATGACTGCATACGTTTTCCAGAAGTTATGACAGCCAGCCTACAATATTTTCTGGTCTGTTACAACGTTTAAGATGCATGAGGAGAGGGTATTTCATGATGTCAGTCCAGACCAACAATTAGATAGGGAGAATTTGAGGCCCGCAAGGAGTATGGGCTCACAATGGCCGTTGAATACTGGGACATTAGTTAGTGGACTGTCCAGTTCTGAATCAGAAGTGAACAAAAGTCCAAAAGGGAGTGGGAAATTATGCAAATGGTGACACAACTGGTAGGAAATTATTGTGGGAAGATCTTTGTTTACTTGAGTCTGCTTTTTAATTTCCATGGGTTTTACTAGGTGATTTTAATGAAACTTTACTAGCAAATAAAAGGAGTGGTCTAATGAATATGAGTGGTTCTCGAGCGTTTGGTGAATTCATTGCTTAGTGTAATCTAATTGAGTATTGTTGAACTAGTCATCGGTATACTTCGTTTCGTGCTGGTTCCATGAACAGAATTGATGGGGCTTTTTACTAGTCCTAATTTTATGCTTCAATATCCAGAAAATAAACTAGTTGCTTTAAGTAGAGGTTTATCTTATCATTTTCCGATTTTCTTGGCTTCTGAAAGGATGAATTGGGGTTGAAAACCATATAAATAGGAGAATTTGAGGGCAGCAAGGATTATGGGCTCACAATGGCAGTTGAATACTGGGACATTAGTTACTGGACTGTCCAGTTATGAATTAGAAGTGAACAAAAGTCCAAAAAGGGACTTAAGCTTCCTCTCCTTTCCGGCCTTTACCTGCTTCTCCGTTATTTTGATTTCTTTTGTGGGCCTTGTAAAATCAATTCTTTGGGTTAGGGATGGAAAATTTTCTCTTTACTGTCTTTGAGATGCAGGACAGTCCCTGTGTTAATTTAATCTTAATTTATGTAAAAATTAATTCGAAAATAGCTGTTTCTGCTAAGTCATGATGCATGGCTGTTAATTTAATCTTAATTTATGTAAAAATTAATTCGAAAATAGCTGTTTCTGCTAAGTCACGATGCATGGCAGGAGTAGCAGTAGAGTACTGCTTTAATTTTGTCGATTTCGAAACCCTAAATAAATAAATTAAAGTGTTTCACGTGGGAGTGGGGTTCAATAATGGCTCTTGGCCCAGCTTTAGGTGGAACCCCACCATGTGCCTGCGTACGTCACTCTACGTAAAGATGTCATGGCAACCTAACAGTAAATAAACTACAAGCCAGATCATAAGACATCCAAGTACATTATGCAATCTTACGACGGAGACCTATGCAATGAGGAAACATTTGACTGGTCGGTGAAGGACACCACGTGAATTTTTTTTTTTTTTGGGATAGAAAAGAGAGTACAGCGGAAGATCAAATTCATGGATGGTGACGAGTTCGTGATTCTCAAATTTTGTATTTTCTTTGAGGTACGGCAGAATAATGCCACTACTGGTAGGGCATCACTAGGCAACTTTTAGATTCTTCATGGATCATTCGTTTGAAAATATAAAGTGATGTCGTCCACCTGACCATTTTTTTATTTTTTATTTTTTATTGTAATAAGGTGTGGACTTGACGTTATTAATATCACACATGATACATGACCAACAAACGCCTCGCATGGAAAATATAAAGTAACGTCTTGTCGGTCTCCTCGACCTGACCACTTTTCTTTTTTATATATATAATAAGATATGGCCTGGACATTGTTAACATCATACATGATGTAGAAACGCCTTACATGAGAATTGACATGTAAAATAATTATTTTGTTTCTAAAAACTTAACTTCTTACGCCACGTTTTAAGATATGATTTTATACCTTACACGCTTTCATATTATTTTATATTTAATTAATTAAAGAAAATAATAAAAATAGAAATCAAATTTGTTATCATTTGATTTTGAAGATATGGTATCATGACAAATCATTTTATCAAAAAAACTTAAAAATAATTTTTAAATCAGATCTAGAATATAATTTATATTATTATCTAACATGATTAACATAAATTATTTATAAATAAATTATTTTTCTTTATATACTATTTTGTTATTTAGAAAATCAATCCAAAATCACCGAGAGTAATCAAACTAAAGATATTTAGAATTGTGAGATTAGTGTCAATATAAAAAATATATTTTTTAAAAATAAAATAATATAGCTTTTAAGTAAATTTCACATGGAAGTATATAAAATATTTTTTATTCAATTATTTATTTGTACTCATTGAATCTACCACTGATTTCGAAACCCTAAATAAATTAAATTAAAGTGTTTCACGAGGGAGTCGGATTCCACCATGGCTCTTGGTCCAGCTTAGGTGGAACCCCACCATGTGCCTGTGTAAGAGATTGCAGCTCAACTCTTTGGAAAAATTTGATATAAATAAGTGTACAGCTGACAGCTCATCATTCATTCTAGTTCTGGGGTACATCACTCTACCTAAAGGTATCATGGCAACCTAACGGTAAATCAACTGCAAACCAGATAACAAGACAAATCTACTATGCAATCTTACAACCAGAGACCTACGCAATGTGGAAACATTTGATTGGTGAAGGACACCGCCTGAAAAAAATTTGTTATTTTAGTAGAAAATGAGTGTACAGTAGAAAGATTTGAGTTCGTGATTCTCGAACTATATGAACCATTGGATTTTTAAAAACAATTTTTTTGAGATACTATTTAAACATGTTCTGATATCATTTAATTTAAAAAATAATAAATTTATTTTCAATTAATATAAAAATTAATTTAAAAATACTAGAAATGATCTAATTATATTATCCTAAGTCGATGCATGGAAACAGTAGCAGTAGAGTACTGCTTTAAATTTGTCGATTTCGAAACCCTAAATAAATAAATTGAAGTGTTTCGGAATCCCACCATGTGCCTGTGTAAGAGATTGCAGCTCCCCATTCCTCCTAGTTCTGGGGTATGCCACTCTACCTAAAGGTGTCATGGCAACCTAACATTAAACAAACTACAAGCCAGATACTAAGACATCCAAGTCCATAATGGAAAACCGCGTCAAATTTTGTTATTTTGCTAGAAAACGAGTGTACAGTGGAAAGATTTGAGTTCGTGATTCTCGAACTATATGAACCATTGGATTTTGTGTTTTCCTTGAGGTACGGCAGACCCATAATGCCATGGTTAGGGCATCACTGCATGGCTTATAGTTTTCACTGGCCAGTGGCCTGTGCTACGCTGCGGCTGCGGATATGATACAATAAAATTATTTTATAATTTTTTATTTAATTAATTTTTTATAAATTTTTATGTTTAAAAAAATAAACCATTCTCATTTATGGATTGATTATAAAATAAAAAATTATAATAATTTAAACTAAAATATTAATCAAGAATAAAAAAAATTAAAAACATATTTTTCATAATATTGTATTTCAAAAAAAATTATAATTAATGGATAGATTTTTATAAAAATTAAAAAATGAAAAAAAATTCATATTTAATACTGATGAGAAAATTAATTTTTTAAATTATCCGCAAAATGCTACAGGCAAATGGAACAAAATTATTTCAAAATTTCATAATTTTTTCATTAATTTTTTAGTTAATTATTAATATTTTTTTGTGTTTTTCATAAAATTTCTGTTTAAAAAAATATGATTTATTCTTCTTTATTCAGGGATTCTTAAAAAAAAACTTATAATAATTTCAACCTAAAATATTAATTAAGAATTCAAAAATAAATACTTTTAAAATATTTTTTTATTAGAATGTATCCAAAAAATAAAGTTACAATTAATATATAGACTTGCATAAAAATTAACTAATGAAAAAATAAAATTTTATTCTTATTTAATGTTTGTGAGAAGATTATTTTTAAAAAGTATATGCATTTGATCTTTATATATTTATTTACAAAATAATAATCAATAAAATTAGCATTAAAAAATGTATTTGAATAATTGGTTGGTTCCTTTAAAAAATTATTTTAATTATTCTATTTCAAATAAATTGATTCTATAATATTAAAAAAATATTCATGGTAAATAATGTATTATGTTGGAGGATGTATAATTATTTTTTAATAAAAATAATGATTTAATAGTTTTTTTTATATATTTTGACCATACCTAGTGAACTAAGAAAAATTATTTGAAATGCACTTTTAACCCCTTAGAATAAAATAATTATATATTTATATATATACAATTATCATTTAAAAATTCTAAGAATTCATGATATATGTTATACTAATTTATTTTTTAAAAAAGAAAGAACAATCATGTTTTAAAATTTTATTCTAAAATTAAAATACATAAAAAAATAAATTACATTTATCAGTAGATAAAGTTTTGTATAAAAAATATTAATTGGATGAAAATTTTCATAAAAAAATATAAATTCAAAGAATGAAATTTTAATAATAAGAGTAATATAAGATGAAGTATATGTTAATTTAAAATGTAATATACATACGCTATAGGGAAATAAAAGCTGATAATTGAAAAAAAAATGTTACAGCATGAGAGACAAAAATAGAAAAAAGTGTTAAATTTACATATTAATGCCAAAAAAAAAAACCATACACGAAAATTACTTAAATCACCATCAAGTAAATAATAATTTCATGCACATAAAGAATAAGTAAATAGGAATTTTATGCATATAAATAGTTCGGATTCCCACGCTACTGCTCGAGATCGAATTAAACATATTTATTTGAGTTTAATAATACATACTATATTGTCGATTAATTAAAATATATTAAATTAAATATAAAAAATACAATTTCATCTAATTTTATAATTTTTAATCAAAATTTTGTATCTATATATTTTGTTTATGTTTTGAATAAATTTTGAAGTAAAAAACATATGATTTGTTCTTTTTTATGCATTGAATCTTAAATAAAAACCCATAATAAATAAATTTTAATATAAATTTTTAAAAAAACTTAATATTTATTTCATAACATTACATCGAAGAAATAAAACAACAATTAATATAAAAACTTGTATGAAAATTAACAAATAAAGCTTTTTTACTCATGAGAAGATTATTTTTTAAAATATTTACATTTGATATATATATATATATATATATATATATATATATATACAAAATAATGAATAATATTAGTATACAAAATTGTATTTGAATTATTAGGCGGTTATTCTAAAATATTATTTCAATTATTTTATTTTAAAAAATAATTTTAAAATATTAAAAAATAATAACAAATAGTTGGTATTATGTGTAGATACACAATCGATTTCTAATAAAATCAATAACTCTAATATTATTATTATTATTTTATATATTATGACCATACTCAATGAGTGAGAATGTATAGCATAAATTGAAAAATATTTTTAAAAAAATTAAATTATAAAATATATAGTGAAGTTGATAGAGTGCAATAAAAAATATATATAATTGATTTTGATAAAATTTGATTATATAAAGAATAAGAAAATAAAATACATATATTTTATTTTTAAATTTTGATTATATGAGAATTAAGCAAATAAAAATAGTTGTAAAAAAAACTTATTCGAATCCATATATAGAGAAAATAAATCATATTTGTTAATAAATAAAATTATATAAAAATAAGAATAAAAATTAACTTGAAGTGAATTTTTATAATAAATTGAAAAGATCAATTTTAAACAATAACGAGTAGTATATATTTGTTCTAAAATCTAAAAACATATCGTATATATTATATAATCGTCGATTTATATGAAAAAATAACGATCGATTTTTTAAAATTTTAACATCCAGTTAAATAAAAAAATATAAATTGATGAAAAAAATCAAAGGGAAAAAACTCAAAAACAAATGTGTAGTATACCAGCTAGGGGGTTAAATTTTTTTAAAAAAACATCAGGGACTAAAATGAAACAACTTGAAAATTATAAAAAAAAATAGTGAATAGTGATTTGTGAGATGGTGAATAGTGAAAATCACTATTCAAACATCCCACCTCTTTTAGTTATAAAGTAATGTATCATTCTTTTAAAAATTAATAAATAAGAAAAAAATTTATTTAACGTTAATAAAAAGATTAATTTTTAAAATTATCCGTACGACGCTACCGATAGATAGAGCACCCGATTAAATAAAAAAACATACATTTATGAAAATTATAAAAATAAAACGTAAGTAAAAAAGAAAAGAATATATCATATAAATATAAAAAATATCGTATTTATTATATAAATAGTTAGTTTGTGTAAAAAAATATCGATTCATTTTTTCAAATTTTAATACCTAATTAAATAAAAAAAGAACATAAATCGATGAAAAAAAGTAAAGAAAAAAACTATATGTAGTGCATCAGTTAGGGGATTAAAATTTTAGAGATCAAAATAAAATAAACCTAAAAATTTTTAAAAATTAAATAAAAAACTAAATTTATAGGGAAAAAAAAGGCAAAGGAGGAAAAACATGTATAGTGAAAGTAGAAAGAAAAAAAAACCCATTGCTTGTAAAAAGTTGAAGAAAGGCCGACAGAGAAGAGAAAAAAAATTTAACAGTAAAGTGTTTTAGAGTAAAAAAAAATCCAAAAAATATTATTTATTAAATAGTGAAAAAAAACAATAAATATATAGTAAATGTGACTTTTGTTTTAGAGTATTTGTAATATGAAAAAAAATATACATCAAATGATTGCCACCAAAAATAGATTGGACGCCACATTGCCGCCTCGTAAAAAAAAAATCTTTAGTATAAGTTAAATCAAATGATTTTCAATAGGAGCAAATCTCCCTTTGTCTTTATACCGATAAACAAATCGCAATTAATGGCACAATTATTTTCTCTGTCCTTCAATGATTTTGTAGGAATACATTATCAAAATGGCATTTATTTTTTGCCTATAGAACAAATACGTTCAAGTCACGTTAAAAATCATTTAAATTCATAAAATAGAATGTCATTGGTTTAGCTTTTTTATTTAAGAAGATATCTTCAGTTTCAAGATTTTTTTTTGAAGAATTTATTAAACTTTTTCAAAATATATCAGGTTGATAAATAGCGGACTTAAAAAGTCTATTTTTAAAATGGTCTGAAAAAAAAAAAAACAAAGAATTCCAGTTGGAAAAGAAAAAGCGCATTGAAGTCACATCGTAATTAATTCCATGTAATCGAGCCAAGCAAGACAAATCAGCAAGTGGAAAAAGAAAAATTATATAACAATCCTCCAATTTCTAACCCTATTCAATTAAGGTGTTCAAGTTATTAAAAAAAAACTTAAAGCCTCGTAACAGATTATCTATTTTTAATTTTATATTTTCATATTTTATTTTTTGTATTTTTTTGATATTGGATAAATTTTTTTAACATTCAAAAACATTAAAGAAAAAAAAAAACAATGCCATATCGAATAGATACAAAATAATATAAAAATATAAAATTTCTAAAGACTATTTACGTTTTAAGTTTAGGCACTTGCGATGAAAGTTACGGAAATGAAAGCACTATCTGGTCCCACAAATCACCAAATCAAAAGCATTTACCCAATCAAACCGTGTCTGATTCACACTGTTCCAAAATCACAGTTGGTGCCGGCACCAAATGGCACCCAATGTTGTTGTCTCCTTGTGCCCAATCAATCTGGCATGATTAAAACAAAGAATAGATTGACCGGGACCAAATTTCCTTCCCCATGAAATTCATATAAAACCCCTACAATTTAAGTGGCTCATAATAAAAACTTCACGCGAAAAAAAACGTTGTCTTCTTGTCATGAATCTGGCATTTCGGTGCGCCCCGACAGTGTTACCGGGACGAAGTCTGGCATGATTAGCATTAACCGGCTAGAAAGGTTACAGATTGACACACAAATTCCATGATGCAATTTAACGGATCCGTCATTTTCAATCTGTTTTTATATTCTAATAATCTAATTTTTAGTTAAAATTTTAAATTAATTTATTATAAATTAAGTATATGATATGCGATTTAATTAACTTTTTTTGTTATTTAATAAAAATAATCTATTTTTATTAATATAAAAATTAATTTGTGAAAATTAGTTGAAAATCCTAATTAAAATGATAGATTAGAAACTATTTCAAAATATAAAAACAAATTAGACATGATTTTTTATTTTAAGAATATATAAGAAAATTGATTTATTATATTAGGTAAAGACATGTGAAAATATTAACCTTAATATTATTTCAAAGTTGGATCTCTAGTGATAAGCAAATTCAATTTTTAAATTAATTTATTAAAAAAATTCTGTAAATATATCAATTTAAATAGAGATGGCTCGTCTAAAACCTAGTTTATAATGAAATTAATCTTGAATTAAAAGCTGACCTGAGAAGATATCATGGCAAACCTAACAATGAATAAATTACAAGTCAGATGGTGACGGGTTTGCTATTCTCAAACGATATAATGTAAGAAATATGGCCTGATGTTATGGCCCATATTTTATGTAAGCTCATATTAAGTTGGTTTCGGGTTTTCTTAATTTAATAGTATGTTAAATCTGTACCGTTAATTTAGTACTTGATGGACGTACAAGATTTAATATTAACAGGTATATAAACTAGTCCTCTCTCTATCCTAAAGGAGTATGCAGAAAAAAACATAAAAATACGAACGTACGTATTTTGGCTATCCATCAAGCCACCTGCTACGGAAAAGGGGTCAAGGCAGAGAAACTAATTTATAAAGTTCGTGATTGTTGAAAGCTCTCTCTACATCATGATGAATTCCGCTCAAGGTAAGTAATTTATTCGCTTTACTCATGTGATTATTATTTTATTCAAGATCCTGAATGGGCATGAATGATTTATGTCTTGATCATTGCATAGAATGATTTATGTTTTGATCTTTAAGCAAGAAAGTTAGTTTTACATGTGGTATCGAGCCTGGTTTTGGATAGATAATAATCCTTAGATTATTGATTTGATGATTAAATAAATAAAAAAAAGGGATTAAGCTACTGCCACTGCCAACAATTGGCAACAGCAAATCATTAACAGTAATATCACACTGTCAATGTTTAAAAAAAAAAATCAGTCGCGCCTTGCGCGATTAGCCGCTCGCGCAAGAGGCCTGCGCAGTAAGGCCACACAGTCGCGCACTGCGCGATTGGCTTTGCGCACAACAGCAGGCCATGCAGCAAGCCTTGAACACAGCAAGCGCGACTGGCCGCTCGCACAAAAGGCCTGCGCACAGCAGCAGGCCATACAGCCAGCCAAAGAGAAAATATATATATGTGTGTGTGTATGTATGAATTATGTATGCATTTTTTCTTTATATATATATATATATATATATATATATATATATATATAATAGTATGATTAAATTGATTTGTTAGTCACCAAAGTGGCCAAATTAATTTTGAATATGTGATCATATAATTTATGTGTTTTTTATGAAATGCTATTGAGAATAAAAATTATTTTTATTTTATATATATATATGACAATATGATTAAATTGATTTGTTAGTCACCAAAGTGGCCAAATTAATTTTGAATGTGTGGTCATATAATTTATGTATTTTTATAAAATGCTATTAAAAATTATAAATTTATTAGTTGATAGAAATTAAGGACTTTACCCAAAGGTAAATCAATGTTCTATAACTAATAAATATAAAGGAAGAAATTGTTATACTCTTGTTACATATATATAGTTATCCAAAGATGCTATATGTATTTGAAAAATGTTTATTTAATTTCTTATAAAGTCTAAATGGCATCCGAATGATAGTGATGATATGTATTGTTGTGTTTACCCAAAGGAAACTCGTAATATATTTAATGTATATGCTTTCCGTATGAATCGTTAATAAGTAAGTGTTTATATGTTTGCGGCTATTAGCCTTCATTCTCAAGCATCTTCTCGTTACCTTGTTTATCGGTGTGAATTTCTCCGAATGGAGCGAACAAATCACTTTCCATTTAGGTGCTTTGGATCTTGACTTGGCGTCGTTAGAGGATAAGCCTCGCTGACCTTAATGCTACTAGTACGGAGGCTGAAAAAGCACACCATAAGGCGTGGGTAAGGTCTAACAGATTATGTTTGAATTTTATGCGAATGTCGATTGCCAACAACATTAAGTCTACTCTTCCTAGCACTCGAAAATCGAATGATAAAGATTTTCTTAAGCTTGTGGAAGAGAAGTTCCGTTCTGCCGACAAGGCACTTGCGGGGACACTTAAGGCCGAACTCACGACCATGAAGTTTGATGGGTCAAAGAGTATGCGAGCAACATGTCCTTGATACGACTAACATTGCGAGCAAGACTTAAGACATCGGGCATGACTGTGGAAGACTCCTTCTTAGTGCGGCTTATCATGAACTCACTTCCTACCGAATATGGATCGTTCCACATCAATTATAACACATTAAAGGATAAGTGGAATATCGATGAACTATCCAGGTAAGCTTATTCGGGAGGAAGCAAGATTAAAGAAACAAGGAGTTCATTTTATTAGCCTAGTGGGTTAAGGAGTCGGAAAAAGATTCAAACCAAAGTCCAAGAATTTCAAGAAGAAAGAACTCGCTAAAGTTTTACGGAGTTGTCGATGATGGAAGGAAGGGACAAAAGTTAGATAAATGTCATTTCGCAAGAAAGAAGGACATTATCGGAAGGATTGCCCAAAACGTAAGGCTTGGTTCGAAAAGAAAGGTATGCATTATGTTTCGTATGCTTTGAATCAAACTTATCTAAAGTTCCTTCTAATATTTGGTGGTTTGATTACGGTGCCACTACTCATGTTTCCAATATTATGCGAGGATTTCTTACAATCCAAACCATAAGCCCAACTAGCAATTTTCCGTTTATGGGGAACCGAATGAAGGCCCCAATTGAAGGTGTGGAGACCTACGGAGTTGACATTAGATACTTGGACATCACTTGGATCTAATGAACACTCTCTATGTACCTTCAATTTCTAGAAATTTAGTTTCTGTTTCTAGACTTGATGCTAGTGGTTATACTTTTGAGGTTGGACGTGGTTGTTTCAATTTGTATAAGAATAATTGCTTTATCGGTTATGCAATGCTTATGGATGGTCTATATAAATTGAAACTTGATGTTGGTTTTTCCGAATCCCTATTTATTGTTAATCATAATGTTGGAATGAAACGGAGTTTGGCGAATGAACATTCCGCTTACTTGTGGCATAAATGTTTGGGTCATATATCCAAAGAAAGGTTAGAAAGATTAGTAAAGAATGAGATTCTACCGAATCTAGATTTTATCGATCTTGGCTTATGTATGGAATGCATTAAGGGCAAGCAAACCAAACATAATAAGAAAGAAGCCACGAAGCAAGTCGACTACTGAAATAATACACACCGATATTTGTGGACCATTTGACACTTCATCCTTTAATGGAGAAAAATATTTCATCACCTTTATAGATGACTTTTTACGGTATGGATATATCTATTTGCTCGCATGAAAAATCTCAAGCTATAAATGCCCTTGAGGTGTTTGTAAAAGAGATTGAGAGGTAATTAGATAGAAAGGTGAAAATTATAAGATCCGATAGAGGTGGTGAGTATTATGGAAAATATGATGAATCCGGACAATGTCCCGGTCCGTTTGCTAAGTTCCTCGAAAGTCATGGCATATGTGCACGAGTATACTATGCCCGGCACACCGCAACGTAATGGTGTGGCGGAAAGAAGAAATAGAACATTAATGGATATGGTTAGGAGTATGATGAGTAATTCCTCATTACCCAAAAGTTTGTGGACGTATGCACTTGAACTGCTATGTATCCGTTAAATAGGGTTCCTAGCAAGGCGGTTCCTAAAACTCCTTTCGAGTTATGGACTCGGAAGGAAACCTAGTTTAAGACACTCGCATGTTTGGGGTTGTCCATCGAAGCACGAATTTATAATCCACATGAAAGAAAACTGGATTCTCGAATAGTTAGTGGTTACTTTATAGGTTACCCGGAGAAATCCAAAGGGTATAGGTTTTACTCGTCCGAACCACGGCTCTAGAATTGTTGAAACAGACTAATGCCAAATTTTTAGAGAATGGTGAGGTTAGTGGGAGTGCTGAAAAACGAGGTTGTGGATATCAATGAAATAAGGGTTAATATTCCATTACCCATAAATGTTCTTAAATACACAACCACAACAAATGTTGTTCTCGTTTTGGAAGATCAAAATAATCAAGAACAACATTTGGATAATGAAGAAACACCCCATGAAGAACCTAACTTACCATTAGCTCATGCAAATGAACCGATTGGTATAGCTTTAAATAGACCTATAAGGGTTAGAAGGTCGGCTATTTCTAATGATTATGTGGTTTATTTACAAGAGTCGATTTTGATTGTGGCATTGATAATGATCCTGTTTCGTTTTCACAAGCTATAGGTAGTGATAAGTCCGAAAGATGGATTGATGCTATGAAAGAAGAGTTGAAATCAATGGCTCAAAACAATGTTTGGGATCTTGTAGACTTACTGGAAGGTTCTAAACGAGTTGGCTGCAAATGGGTTTTTAAGACCAAATGCGACTCGAATGGTAATGTTGAAAGATATAAAGCTAGACTTGTTGCCAAAGGCTACACTCGTAAAGATGGCATTGATTATAAGGAGACCTTTTCACTTGTCTCAAAGAAAGATTCATTGAGAATAATTTTAGCATTAGTGGCTCAATTTGATATAGAGCTACATCGGATGGATGTGAAAACGGCCTTTCCGAATGAGGATCTTGAGGAGGAAGTTTATATGGATCAACCCGAAGGTTTGTCCATTGAAGGTAAAGAAAGTATGGTGTGTAAATTGAAGAAGTCAATATATGGACTTAAACAAGCTTCCGTGCAATGGTATATTAAGTTCAATAATACCATTAACTCTTTCAGCTTTGAGAAAATCACTCGTTGATCGGTGTATTTATCGAAAGATTAGTGGGAGTAAGTTTATATTTCTAGTTCTATATGTTGATGACATTTTGCTTCGTCGCTAATGACTTGGGTTTGTTGCATAAGACTAAAGAATTTCTTTCTAAGAGTTTTGAAATAAAAGATATGGGAAAGGCATCCTATGTGATTGGAATTTCAATATTCCGTAAGAGATCGAAGGTTTATTAGGATTGTCTCAAAAAGCTATATTGAGAAAATTCTTGAGAAATTTAACATGAGCAAGTGCTCAGCAGTGTAATCCCTATTCAAAAGGGAGATAAATTTAGTCTTATGCAATGTCCAAAGAATGATGTGGAACGTAAGAAAATGGAAACAATTCCATATGCTTCGTTGTGGGTAGTTTGATGTACCTACAAACCCGTACTAGACCCGACATCGGCTTTGCAGTAGAGATGCTCGGGTAGATATCAAAGTAATCCTGG